CCTAAACCCTAAACTCTAAAACCCTGAGCCTTAAGCCCCAAATCCCCAACTCCCTAAATCCGAAACCTCCTATTTGCCGCAAAAGCCTTCAGGATGCCAATTAGGGCTCTTGCATGGTCGACGACAGAGCTGTGAGGGTTTGGCTCATGGTGATATACGCTTGCGTTCCATTTTGGCTATAGCACACCTGCAACTATGTCTTTATCACAACACACCCACGAGCACTGCCTACTGCAGTGAATCTAACCACCTTAGTCCTATCGTGTAAAGACTCAGAGTACGAAGTTGGGTGGGAGTGCGCGCGAAAGGTAGCGTTGAGACGGCGTTCGGTCAGAATAAGGGCAAAAAAAAAGAAAGCCGATCTGATATCGACGAACCTTCGACCCCGAAGTCCTGGACTCCTATAAACCGCAAGCTCCTAAACTAAACCCCCATGAACTCCCTCAGCCCTAACTAAACCCCTATGAACTCCCTCCCTTAAACTCAGAAACCGGCCCAAAGAGCCTTGGCTAGCCTTGAAGTTTTCAGCATCGCAATGAACTCCTCGGCATCTAAGGCCGAGCTCATGTCTTTGTCGAACTCTCGCATCAGCCCATCAGCCTCGCAACTCCATGCTCCAAAGGTTTTAGGGTGTAGGGGTTTCTGGTTTCGAGACTGAGCACCAAGGGATCAAAGCTCAGAGTCTGCAGGCTGGTCTGAAGGCAGGATGCAAGCGACACTATTCTCTGCAAGATGCTCCCAAATCCAGACTCCTGAACTACGAATGGAAGCACCCCCGGCTTGCCGCTGGGTGGAGGCGGCCTCTTCACCGACCATGTCCTCAAAGACAGGCGTACTGGTCCAGAGATAGAGTTCCGACAGCAGCGGGCGGAGCTCCCCGGCACTGATAGTACCTCGGCACATGTCTCCAAAGAGCCACTCACCCCACCGAGCTTCTGCTGCTACCACCACTACTACTAATACTACTACTGCTGCTACTACTACTACTACTACTACTACTACTACTACTGGTACTACCACTCTTGCTGCTACTACCACCCGTACTGGTACTACCACTCCTGCTGCTACTACCACTCATACTGGTACTGGCAGTGGTATGTGCTGCTACGGCTGCGGCTACTGCTGCTGCTACCACCTTCACGACCGCGACAGCTACCGACATCAGTACCACCACTTCAACCACCCACCACGATAGCTACGGCTGCTAGTACAGCGACATCTTTGCTACTTTTGTTTCTACTGCTACCTGGTACATAGCAGTGGGACAACGCAGAACGTTCCCACGCCGGAGCTAATGTTGTTTCTGTTGGGATAACAGACCATGCTGGTGGAGATGGTCAATAAACGTGGAAACGATGCAGAAGGCGAGTATGACCCTGACAGCCTTCCTGATGTTACTAGTGTTGGCCGGAGATGATTCTCCAGTGGGCTTCGTAGGCCTAAAACAGACCCACGATGTTCCTAGGGCCCTCCTGGATCCAGCGTAACCGACCCTGTTTGTAGGGTCAGATATGCTCGCTGCTAGGCTTTGTCGTGATTTCGCAGGAAGCATGTCCGACCCTGCCCGATATCGGCGGTAAATCGAAAAAACTGCCTCAGACTCAAAAAGCTAAGCATTTTGCGCTGTGGGCCTTGGCGGCCTAGGAAGAACCCAGGGGGGCTCACGCAGGCAGTCCGTTTTCAGGAACCGTGTGTTCTCAATCCGAACGAGAGAACTCCCTCGTTTGGATTGAAAAACAAGCGGTGCGAGCACGCATCTGTATACCATCCAGCGAAGCGGCAAACCGTGTCCATTTTGTTTGTGTGTGTGTGCGTGCGTGCAGTTTTGGGTTTCAATTATTGACGGCCAGATGCAGCTAAGTCCCTAAACCCTGCACCCTGAACCCAGTATTATATATACATATATACATATATACATATATATATATATATATATGATATGATATGATATGATATNNTATATGTATACATATATATATATGATATTTATTTAGTTATTTATATTTATGATATATATATATATATGTTTTATATATATATATATATTATATATATATATATATATATGCTATATTGTATATATGTGTGTGTATATACACATGTAACCAGGGTCGGACATACACGTGGCTAGGGTCGGATATGCTCGTCTCACCATGTCGGACCCTCTCAACGTGGGCTGCCGGGAGACACCATCCCGGACCCTGAGCAAAACGAGGGTATCCTAAAACCCTAAACCCTAAACCCCTAAACCCTAAACCCTTTGATGGCTATGTTGATGAGACCATTGTCGGTCAAGACTGCCCTTAATTAAGGAATATACCTTAAATCATATTAGGGTTCCTATTTTAATTTAAGGTGGATTCCTTAATTAAGGGGTTTTGGAGTCTCTGGGTTGTTGACATGCTGAGGAAAGATTGTATCGTGAGAGTGATGATATGTAGCACGATGACGACAACGATACCGGTGTATAGCAGCTGGCCGAAGATGAACGGTGATTGTGACCGGAAACATGCATTTGATGGGCTGAAGCAGATGCTGCTGCTGTTTCTGCTGTTGCTGTTGCTGTTGACACTGTGCTCGTCGTCGCCCTTCGCCGCACTCGTCCTTATCGTTGTCGTCGTCTCTGCTTCAAGTTGTGCTCTTGCTTCTTTTGTTGGTGGTGCCGAGGACGCGCAGGATTGTGCCAAGCACATAACTCCGGGATGGGATTCTTGCTTGTGCATCGGAGAAAACAGACTGCAAGAGATGGTCAGGCTGGTCCGGATTTTTTTATTGAAGACTGACCACACAAATCGTCACGCAGCAGTCCTGAGTCGTGTCTACAAGGGTGCGGGCACTTCACCCTGTCTGAGACCATGGACCACTTCCGTCGACATCAGAGCGGGTAAACAGAGCAATTACCTGGGCGTGCTTGCTCTGGCTGCGTTTCTTCCTCGCCTCTGACAGAAACATCAACCTCATGCAAAATTGAAACTCATTCCAACCCGCAGAAATTTATGAACTGAGGGAGTAATCATTCGATGGGCTTGGAGCATGCTTCCCACTGTTCAACCTCATCGATAATGGCGTTGATTCTAACACGATTGCTAGTCTTATGTAGCCTGCCCGTGATATCTGAACACTTCTTGGGTCTTACAACAGAGTCTACCGGCAAGATAGGGTTTAGGGTTTAGG